GTACATCGTCTTCATGTACAAGGTGTTCGTGCTATTATTGATAATACAGATACTGGTGTTGGTGTATTACCTATTAATTCATCGATTTATTATACAGATTTTTGGTCTTGTTTTAAATCAATTGAAGAAACAGAAGGAAGTTCTGGTTTATATAAAGGTATTGGATGTGTTTTACTTAAATTTTCATTATTATACGGTGGAATGTTATTGGCACATGGTGTTGCAAAAAAATTTGTTATTGATAATAAACCAGCTATACCAACTTCTCCTTCTGTAACAACAACGACAGCAACAACAACAAGACCAACATGGAGACATGAACCAACAACTACAATTACTACTGAAAGTGGACAATGGTAGTTTGTTTCAATATTTATTTTTTTATTTTGGATTATTAAGAACATATAGAAAAATTTAGTCAATCCTATCCCAAAAAAAACAAACTTTTTTTTTCTGAATGAAATATAAACTGTTTTTAATTTCAAATTCATATTGTCATTGTCAATAGCTGATTTGATTCGAGCTATAAGGAATAAACAAATCATATTTTTTTCTTGCAATTCTTCATGGCAAGTTAACAAACAATACGTATCCTTTGTCATAAAGAATAAAACTTATTATTTTATTAAAATAATACAATCAATCATATTTTACTTTTTCTGAAGAAAGGAATTATATGTATAAAAAGAGATTAAAAATCAACAAAAAATGAGCATGTTTTATTATATTGAACTAAATTATCATTAGTAATCTTTTACTATTTTCTATCTTTATATGAATATGATGAACGACTTCTATCATTATTTGGAGATGAATGATATCGTTTTGAATTTGATCGACGATCGTGTGGTGATCGAGAACGATCTCGTTTTCGATGACGATCATTATTAGTACCTCGATGTCTTAGAATTAGAAAAGAATAATCTAAAAACGATTGAATTGAAAAATTACCTTGATGACCGTCGATCACCAGATGATGAACGTGATCGTCGAAATCCACTATATGAATCATGACGACTATGTGTTAATCGATTTCGTCCATCAGTATTTCTATTTTTCGACTAGAGATTTTTTTTTTTCGAAAAATATTTAGATCAATAGATAAATGAACTTACACGTCCATTTGATAATGCACGTCGATTTCGACTGACATTTTGACCTGGTGTTGTTTTTGTGAATTCAACAACTAATGAACGACCACGATGAATACGACCATGTTCACTTCGTTGAGCAAGCTAAAACAAGATTTAAACTATTAGAAAAGTATTGACTAACGAATAAATCGGATAGTGTATATCATGGAATGTAAAGAAGGAAGAGATTACATTTTTTACTGATTGTTAATGATACAAAATAAATAAGGAATAACAGATCATTTATCGAAATAAACATAATATATATGTATATAAATCGATTTAATTCGTTGAAATTACCAATTATTCTCAATTAATCGATAATGAAGAAGAATCTAAGTAATGTATAATACCTCAGCATGAACGATGGAATAATAAGATACAAAACCAAATGCTACAGTATATGCTAGAAAAGAATTCAATTGAAATACAATATATATACATTTTTCTCTCTTACTTGGACCACCAAATCTCACTTCACATCGTTCAAGTTCTCCATATTGTTTAAAAATATCTCTTAGTTCATGTGTTTGTGTTTCTGGATGAATATTACCAAGATATAAATTTCTTGACGACATTTTTTCTCTTGTTTTATACAAATGGCAACAGTAGAAAAAACGACAATTGAATAGTTACACTTGACTGAACAAGCAATCAGAGAGAAGCAATATTTTACCCTTTCGTTCTGTATTTTAGAGAAAGGATGAGAGAGAAGGTAACATACATAGATACTCAAAAAAAATTAACTCTTTTTCTTTTGATACGTAGAGGTTCATATATGTTATATATGGTAATTTTATTAAATGATATTCGTCGATCAGTCACAAATCTTTCAATGTATGAATAAAATTTAAGCGTTACTCTTTAATTTATCTACTTATTTCACTTGAAATATTTACATTTTTTATTCTCTATGTTTGTTATATATGAGTATTTTAACAGAGTTTCATTTTTTTGTGAGCGAATCGATGATCTAGATTTTGTTTTCATATCTAAACAAACTAATAAATTTAATAGTATCTCTAAGAAAAATTATTTAATAACATATGTACAAGAATTTTGATAATTTATCTAGCCACAAACTACTTCTCTGTTATTTGATCAACATATCAAAGTTCGTATATCTAAAGAAGCATTTTTTTGTATCACTTCTCACCACTACTGCCTTTCTCTTTGATTGTGAAAATTCATCTTTTTTGTACTCAGTTAATCTTGAAATTTGTTTTTTTTAATAGATAATTTTGTCATCATCAGTATTCGCATAACCAGAACTAATCATTCAACACCAATTTTTCTTAGTAAGTGTTTTCAAATCAATAGTCTAGCTATGAAATTAGCTTCGAGCATTTTTTTTATTAAGAGCGATATTTCTATGAGACAAATGTTCTCTAATTTTACTATTTCTGTTGTTTGTTTTCTTCGACATTTTCGTTGATCCAAGGCCTGTAGCTTATAAGAATAAATGAACTGTGAGTTGAAATAGGTCTTTCATTAGAATTTCGTTTTGCGGAATAGTCTCGTATTTTTTAATGATTAGTTTCAGGGGCGTGACGACCTCCTGTTCTGCTCTCGGCACCTCGGTACGCCTCTGGTTGACTTGTTTCGATTTTCAGCTCACTCATTCCTATAAATTTTCTATTAGATAAACATCTAATAATGATTCATCATTCTCGAAAAAATACCTGTAAGTATTATTTTATCGTTCGATTAATTAGGATAGGCTATAAGGCTTGATCTATATTAGAAAAAATAAGTATGATATTAATTTTTTATTAATATGATGAGTGTCTATATTTATTGATTGATATTATCAAGACTTCAAATTCTTGTATAAAATCGGTTTTAAATAACTATTTAACTCGGTGATAGACCTTTGAATTGATAAAAAGTATAAAATTACATAACAAATTGAAAATAGATAAGAATATATTAATCTATAAGATTTGTTTTTTGCATATAGAGAATTGAAGAATAACAATGTCCACAAGAATACGTGCTCGAAATATTGGTATTCCTTTTAAAGGAACTCCGGGTGCTTTCAATTCAATAACTGATGTTCATGGTGTTGAAGTAGGACATCGAACAATAATTGACGATTCAAAATCATCATCAACGAAACAAAATTGTGTTCGAACAGGTGTTACAGTTGTACTTCCAAGAGGAAAAAATATTGTCGGTAATCTAGAACATCAGAATTTATTTGGAGGTTGGTATTCATTAAATGGAAATGGAGAAATGACTGGAACAACTTGGCTAGAAGAATCAGGTTTTCTTGGACCACTCATTGCAATAACGAATACACATAGTGTTGGAATAGTTCGAGATACAGCTATTCAATGGTTTCAACAACAAGCCAAAGGATCGGGTCTCTTCGATTGTAATTATAGTTCATTAAGTTTACCAGTTGTTGCTGAAACATGGGATGGAGTTCTTAATGATATAAATGGATTTCATGTTCAACGAGAACATGTTTTTGATGCAATCAATTCAGCAACTTCAGGTGATGTTGATGAAGGAAATGTTGGTGGAGGAACAGGTATGGTTACACATAAATTTAAAGGTGGTATAGGTACATCATCTCGTATATGTGGTGATTATACAGTCGGTGTTCTCGTTCAATCTAACTATGGATTTAGACATCAATTAACTATTGCTGGTATTCCGATAGGTGAAGAAATGTTAGATGAACTTTTACCTGTTCATGCAAAAAATATTGAAAAACTTGACGAAACAGGATCAATAATTGTAGTTGTTGCTACCGATGCACCTCTTTTACCACATCAATTAAAAAGACTTGCTCGTCGTGTACCAATTGGAATGGGATTAGTTGGAGCACGAGGTGGAAATGGTTCAGGTGATATTTTTGTTGCATTCTCAACAGCTAATCATCAAGCAATGGGAAAACAAACAGGAGTAGTACAATTAGAAATGTTACCTAATGAACAAATGACTCCTCTATTCGACAGTGTCGCTCAAGCTACTGAAGAAGCTATTTTAAATGCAATGATATCAGCAAAAACTATGGAAGGAATATATGGAAATAAAGTTTATGCTATACCACATGAACGAATTCGTGAAATTTTGAAAAAACACAATAGATTAACGGATAATTAAAATAAATTTAGATTTTTTCTTACATCTACTCTTAAATTTAAAAATTAATATATCATTTTTCTTCATTATATTGATGATTTTTTTATAATAGTCTGTAGGTATAATAAAATTGAACTCGTACGTTTTCTTTGTTGTTCAATAAACATGTATCGTTCTATTCTGATGTATACATGTAACGATGAGAATTTTTTTCATTCTTCATTGTCGAATAATTCCATTTACATGTGAAAAAGTCATGTAAAATTGTAAAATGACTTGTCCAACGAAATATTTCATGGCATGGGGGGTATAGCTCAGTGGTAGAGCATTCGACTGCAGATCGAGAGGTCCCTGGTTCAATCCCGGGTGCCCCCTAGGCTGTTCTTTTTTCTTTCCTTTCTTCACAAAGTCTTATTGTATTACAACACAATCGTCTATTGATGAAGGCTGTAGATGAGAATATGATGATGACATACACCATATCGTATTACTTTTTTCTTTTTGAGTGACGAAAGAGGAAATACGACAATTATGACACTTAAAGAAAAAAGTGTTTTATATTCTCATATACATTGGCAACAGATGGATATACAAAATGCGCCAACGCAAACTTCTAAAAGGCTGTTAGCTGAAAATATATTCTATATACAATTTATTCAAATAGTGTCATAGTTGTGCTTTGACAAATACTGTAATGTATAAAAAATATTTGAAAATGACATAACAACTATACATAGAAGACAGTTTATGGTACATTATTTTTACCGATTAAAGTTATAGAATAGTTCTTTCTCCAATACTTGGTAAGAATGTACCATGTTGAGAACAACTATCATTATCTCGAAATGAACCTTTGATTTGATATTCTGGTTCACTAGTCGATTCCCATTGACAAAGATTTGATTTAATCGATTGTCCTTCGTTTATCGCACCTTGTCTTACTATCCAAGCACCTTTACCTGCTAGACCTTGAGCAACCATACCAAATGTTGATTTTGATGTAATGATTAAATGATGCATTTTTGATAATATAAGTAATTCTGCTAAAGTATATTGCATTTTTTCTACAACATTAGAATTTTTTGGAGGTTCGAATGCTTTTAATATTTCTAAATTTTTATACATTTTTGATAATTGATTTTCTAATTTTTGACGACGTTGCGGAGTATTTGAAATAATATATAAATAAATTTTCATCTCTTCTTTGCTCGATCTATAAATACAAAAATTCTTTTCATTTAAGATTTTATTTCAATAATTTACCTAGTGACATTTTGTATAACATGTTCAATACATTTTTGAAATGGTTCAATATATTCGATCATATTTGATGACCAACTACGCATATGAACTCCAATTGTTATATTTTTCTTTTCAAAATTATATTGTTTTTGAAAATCTTCAATAATTAAATTTACTTTCGATACTGGTTTTAATAATCTTCTTGCTAATTCAACAAAAACTTGTCCATTTTGAAAAATTTTTACAAAATTTTGTCTCATTTGTTCATTTCGTGTTAATAATGGTATAAAATATTGATCAGTTCGAATCCATTTAACATGACGATGAAATAAATTTAAAATATAAAATCCAATTTTTTGAAACCATGATTGATTATATAGTTTTTTATTACATAAAATCTCTCGATCGAAATAAAAAGCCCAATCTTGTGGTATTTTACTATTATATCTATTCAATTCAATATCATTTATCCATCGATTTTTAATAAGACTCGTTAATCGAGATAATGAATATTGATATGGAATTTTCTTTTCGAATGATGATAAAGGTAAAAAAAGATCATCAAAATAAACTGGATGATTATCACCTGGCTGCCAATTAATTAATAGAACTCGATTAGTTATAAGAGCATAAGTCGTAACAGATATTAAACCAAGAATACGATTACCTAAACCATTCACTGCGTCAAATATTACGTAATCAGATTGAGTAGATGAGTATTTAATAACACAATTGCGATAGGCAATGTAAGAATCGAACAATATTGTTATATTACAAATATTCTTTGATAAAGCGCATGTTGAAAATGAATTAATATTATATAGATGTGAACATGGAGAATTTATGAATAATTGTTCACGAAAAATATAGATAATATAAATAATTAATATTAAAATGAAAAAAGTTTTAATTCGAAACGATTTTAATTTCTTTTTTAAATTATAAAAGGTAAACATATCATAATAATTCTATTGATAATTAAATAAATTTTAATATTGTATATTATGCTGTTCTTATACTAAAATAAAGTATTAAAATACATCCAACAGAAAGGTCAACGATGAGAAGAAAAAAAAACTCACTTTTTTTTTTATCTGTGTACTCTTTTCTTTCTGTCTCTCGGTGATTAACACGTGGCACAAAAAAAGGCTGTTATGTTGACTTCTTTTCTTTTTTATGATGAGAATTCTGAATATAAAATAATTCTGTTTTATTTCAACTTGTTAAACTAAATTTGAAAATAGCTTTGTATATTATAAAATACATACTCGTTATTAATGAAGTAAATTATAATACTGTTCTTTCAAAAGTTGACAGAAAGTGTCCACGGACATTATAATATTTTTTGATAGAAAATCAGAGTTAATATGTAAATCTATCCTCACTGAATAATCAAGTTTTATGTATGCTGAGAACTAAATGTCATAATGTAATTCATAGTAGAAACGAAGAATTTATTTAGAATTATATTGTTATCAATGGAAGGAGTGTTTGTTGATAACAAAATCGTAGTATAGATATGTCAGTAGATGAAATATTTAAAAGAAAGTGGTGAAAACTTTTAGCGTCTATGAATAGGACTTCATGACGCTAACGTATATATATATTTATATTGCTCATCATGAGATTTTCTTTCTTTTCTATTATTGCGTCATTTCTTTTTTCTTTTTCTATGTTTTATTCAGTCGTTATTGTTGTTTCTCTCTCCTCCTGTGTTATATCTTCATTGTTACTTTTGTCATATCTTATCGACTGTCATCAATAAGACTATTATATTTATCCTCATCTTCCATTATTTATATCTTCAAGATATGGTAGGCTTTTTCATTATGAGTTTCTCAAGGGTTAGGAGACTAAGGTCCTTGATTTAGTATTTCAGCCACGGTTATATCCTGAAAAAAGGAGATCCTCACAAAAACTACGTTTGTCAATTTACTGTATAAATAATTATATTCTAGTAGAAATATCTATATTAATACCATTTGTCTTACAGATAAACATACTTTCCTGTATTTTATAACTTATGTAATATTAAAGATAATTATGACTAAATACAAGTTATACACTGATTCAATTAGTCCACGATGTTCATTATTTTTCTTGACAATAATACTTTTTATTACCTTTACTATGGCGGCACAAACAAATGATGATTTGAGTATTGTACGTGAAAATGTTCGAAAAATAATGTTGTGGCCTTCACCAGATCAATTATCCTCTGTTATAACACAAGCCATGGCTAATTTAAGTACATTGAATTTCGATACTTGTCAATGGCCTGATCTAAATTATACTACACGTGGTCCAGAAAACTGGGATCCAGTTTTACATATGTTTCGTATCGCAACGATGACTTCAGCATTGACAGCTCCTGGTGGGTTAATAAACAATACGAAATTATCATTAGGCATCCATTGTGCTTTAAAAGTATGGATCGAACAAGACTGGCAAAATCCAAATTGGTGGTGGAATTATATTCAAGATCCATTAATTGCTACAGGTATAATGTTGATGTTAGGTGTAGAACGAATGACTAAATATGAAATTGATGCAATTGTTAATATGTCTTATCGTGCAAATTGGTGGATCAAAGATTGGGGAGGTGGTGCGAATTTAGTTTGGGAATTACAAATTCAATTATATCGTGGACTTGCTACATCAAATTATTCAGCAGTTGAACAAGGTTTCGAGCTCATGTGGCAAACTGTACAAATACAAAATCTTTCAACTATGGGTATACAAAGTGATTGGTCATATCATTTTCATGGTTCACAATTACTTCCTGCAGCATATGGTGATGCTTGGGCTACAAATATTTTACATTTTCATATGGCAACACGTGGTACACAATATGCTTTGGCTAAAGATCGTATTGAAACTTTTGGTCGTTTTTTAACTCGAAGTGATGCATGGTTTACTATGGGAAGTGTTTGGACATGGGCTCTTATTGGACGTGTCATAGATCGTGGAGTTCATGTTTGGTATACACATTTATTTCCATCGGATCAGTTACGTGAATTAGCCATGGATATGACTGATAATTCTACTGCTATCGCATTGTGTGATTATGCTGATCGACTTGAACATCGTCATGATGCAACACCCCTAATAGGTAATCGTCATTTTTATACGAGTGATTTTCAAGTACATCGAAGAGTTAATTGGACAGCTGCTTTAAAGATGCATTCTGCTCGAGTAATTGCATCTGAATGTGATAATAATGAAAATTTAAAAGGTGAACATATAGGTGATGGTGTACTGAATCTGTATACTCGTGATGCTCAATATGGTGGTGGTGAAGAATATGAAAATATATTTGCTTTACTTGATTGGCAAGCTATTAATGGTATTACAGTTGAAGCTGATACACCATTAAATCATTGTGAAAGAGGCGCACTTCCTATGTTAAATACAACATTTGTTGGTGGTGTTAGTGATTCGATGTATGGGGCAGCAATAATGGATACTTTAACACATAATTTGACGGCTAAACGTACATGGCATTTTTATGATACCTATATCATAGCATTAGCCAATGGTATTGAAGATAATACTACTGCATTATTACAAACAGCTCTAGTTAGTAGATTATTACCTGCAGCTAATACGATAAGTGGTACATTAACTTTACAATGGAGTAATGGAACAAGAATGGTATTGCCCGATGGTGTTTACTCATTTTCATATAATCAACCACGTATATTATGGTTTCATGCAGATGGTACAGCATGGTCAGTTTTAGAAGAATATGAAACACTCATTATTGACTGTCGTAATAAATCTGGTAATGTTAATCAATTGGGTCCATGGAATTTTGAAATGGTAGGACGTTTACTTACAGCTATTATCATACATGGTAGAGGACCCACAATTAAACCACTGCATTATCGATACATGATTATGCCTAATGTAACTGTAGAGGATATGTCAAGATTGTGGGAACGTTATTTGTCTATAGGAAATAATGCACATGCTTTAACATATTTGCAAACTAAGAATGATGAACCATTATATCTTCATGGTACTTGTGATCCATTTCTTCAACGGGCTTCAGTTTTGTTGTTTGATAAAGGTTTTACTAATAGTAGTATTGCATATTATAATTGTAGTAGTATGTCATTAAGTATTTATATGGAACAACCAGGTGCTATTTTATTTAGTGAAAATTCCAATAGTTTTACGATTACAGCAGCACATCCTACAATAGCAATAGGTACATTTATCGTCCATGTCAATCGATCTAGTATTGTATCACATGAATGTACAAATAGCAATCATTGGGATTTACAAAGTGGTACACGAGTATTAATTCCTTTACCTGGTAACAATCAATTACTTGGTAAAAGTGTATCAGTCACATGTAAAAAGAACAACACAGTTTAGCATTCAAACTATTTTTTTTAATTTTTAGTATGAAAAAAGATTCCTTTATAATTAGTAATTCTTACAATTTGTATCGTGTATATGAAATCATAATTACAATGATACAATAACAGTTGAAATAAGATTATTCTCCTTTAAAAATAAACTCAATATATTATAAATGAAGCTTGCTGTTATACATATATGTTGTCATTCACTTCTAAGACACATTTCGATGTTCTTTTTTAAATTCAGTATAAATCATAGGTATTATTAATACAAATTTATATTTTCATACATATGTATATTGAATATCAATCAACATTTATCTTTACTTGCGACCTCTTTTGCAATAGTCTCTTCATTTGTATATTATAATATTTTTTAACCAGTACGAAATAAAGTTGTTGTTCTTTTTATCTTATATACGAACGTATGTCAAATAACATGTGCGATATTGATCAATATTGATGAAACTAACTTCTTTATATCGAAGCTGAATCATCAGTGTTCTTTGTAAGAATAGAATAGAAACAATAATAAACGTTATTTAATTTTTTCTTTTAACATTTTTTTATAAAAATATATGGCTTCTGTTACATTTGTTGTTGCTGATGTCGATATCTGTACGCAGAAACATATTGAAACTACTAAATTATATCAAGTAGATTTAGATCGATGGGGAGAGAAAGATCAAACATTATTACTTGAAAATTTTCAAACAAATTATCCATTAGCTTTTGATCTTAATGGAAGTAATCATCGAATTAGTAATGCTTTTGTTGCTACTGTATACAAAGCATATTGTGAACATTATCCACTTGAAATAAGTGTTGAAGATATTTGGGTTGCTATTGAACAAGGTATTAGTATTCATCTAAATGAAAATGCTGAAAAATATCGTGGATTAATGGTAACACATGAGGGAAAAAAGACATTGGAACTTTTCGTAGATAGTCTTCGAATACCAGATTCTGATCGAGCAAAAGAAGGAAATAAATCTGTACCTGCTATTGATTGGTCAGCTGCTGTCCGACAAATGGGAGAATTAATTAAAAAAGATATGAAAACAGATTTAAGTACAATATTAACTACTCCTTTCTCTAATACAACACCAGTTGAACAAGCTGTTTTTGATTGTACATTAATGGATAGTGTAAAATCTTATTATAATCATCGATTTAGTTTACGTTGCGGTATTCCACAAGTAACATTACGTGGTTCGCCAGATGATTTTCAACAGGTTATTGATCGGATTAATCAACTTCGAATGATTTTTACTGATTTTCATTGGTGGTTAGATACACTTTTACCTCATTTGAAAGAATTAAAAGCAAGTGCTAAAGGAAAACATGATATCGATTGGTGGCATAAAATTTGTCATAAATTAGGAGGTGGATCTGGTGTTAGTTTATTATCTGGATGGCTTGCTGATTTTATACCGTAAGATTATTTTAATATAAATAAAAAAAGAATATGCTTATTCTCTTTCTCGTAGAGAACAGTCCAGTAAACATAAATTGTCTGCTTGCTTGCTTGTATGTCCGCAGGGTCAAAAAAACATCGAAAACCAATTTTTCAGGAAAAGACATTT